ACCATTTGACTTCAAACAAGCAAGGGATTGAGCAAGACGCGCGAAAGCCGTTGCGCGTTAGCGCAGTAGTTTGATTGCTGCTTCGAAAAGTTTGTTGGGTAGGAATTCTTAGTGTTCTTTTCATACGATCGAGAGCGCCTTACTTTGTCCTTTCTAAAGTTCATAAAGTTCATCCGGAGCCACTTTCAGGCTGTTTTTTTACCGTATCAAATCAATCTTCAGTGGTGGGAACCGCTAGCTCTTTTCTTAGGGGTAGCCCTGGGTGGGAATAAAACTAGCTCAGGATTTATGACTTTCCTAAAGAGGAGATGCCAAGATCTTTAACTAGCAAGTGCATCAAAGATGCAGTCATCGATTCTCCCGAGAGTTCACAATTGCCGCGAGCAAACATATTAATGACGAGGAAGGCAGTTATGCTACTAATACTTGTACTTGCTCGCCTATTCTGCCCAAGCCTGGCTGAGGAAGAGTTTCGGGGCGTAAAACAAAAACAAAAAAAGACGCTGATGGGCCGGTGGCATACTATGAGTAATGATTCCTTCATTCACGAGAAATAAGAAAGAAAAAGAAAAAGGCATTCCCTTTTAAGCCAGCTTGGCGCCAACTCCAGCGAAGAAAGCTTTCAGGCTAAATTAGCGGGGGCCCGAGCCAATACCCTTTTATGGATCAAAGGAAAAGACAGTTAACCGGCCAAAAAGGTCTTGACAGAGCCTCTGGGGGTAGGAAAATCATGATCGGGATAGCGGACCAAAAGCTATGGAATTTGGGAATTAGTCATCTTTTTATGCTTGACCACTGCACTCGAACAAGAATAAATAGGGCAAATTATGTTCACTCAAAATAGTTTCAGTCTAGGCACCCTATGGAAGTCCTTTCAATGTCGGGTTCCCCCATTTTGAAAAGGTTGTGTTGCATTGGTCCAACTGCTGAAACACATATTAGATGGCAGCTTGGTTGCGATAATATTGATTTTTTGTATGAGATATAGGCAGGTTACATCCAAGCTTGGGTTGGGGATCAAGCTTTAGTGGAGGTGTGTCCGGATATGCAACATACGCCTTGTGTGGTGTCTGATTTTTTCTCAGTAACAGGGTGGGATGTCGCTGCTCTTACTGTTTTTCTTCCGGAGGAGGTGATTAGTCAAATTTTCAACCGTCGCATACTTCAGATTTACCCATTTGGTTACCGTCGCCGGATGGTCAATTATATCTTTCCAGCAAGAAAACGGATGCGCGTTAGCGCAACGGCTTTCGCGCTAGTTGCTCAATCCGTTGCTTGTTTAGTCGAGACTCACTTTGCTCTCCTTGTATCAGTGGTTCGAATCCACTTCTAAGCGGCCGAAGGTTTAGACACGTAGACGGAAGAAAAGCGGATTTTTCAATTCAAGTTCAAGAGTCAGCCAGTTCGATCTGATTGGGGAGACCTCCTGCACTATACGGCTTTTTAGCGTCCCCCTATCTTGTCTTCCTGGAGGCAGATTTGATAAAAAAAGCGGTTGATTAAACGCATTGGTTCTCCCATCCCTGTGCCTCGAATGAACCAGTAGCAGTAGAGTTCGCTTTCAGTCTTCATCTTTCGGGTCGATCTATATGCTCCGGGGTGGTGAGACTTGACTACAAGGTTTGAAGATGCTCTTAGTTACCAGGAGCCGTAGGGCCACTCTAGACGGTCAATTGGTATTCACTCCAGAGCGGGGGCTTACTTTTCCGTTACTCCAGAGCCCTCAGTACGAGTTCCTGTAGCAGTAGAGCCTTGACCTCTTTCTTTCTAACCGGCTAGCCTTTTCAGGGCGGTTGATGCAATCCTACTGTGAGGGAGCTAAGGGCAAGTAAACGGTTGAAGCAAAGTGGAACTATCAGTAGGTGAAAAAAAGTAGCTGATTGAAGTCAAAGAAGGATATGGGTCGGAATACTTGCTTGAAAGCCGGTCGGTAGCCTTTTCTGTTGACTGAGTCGGGGAAGAGGAATACAGTCAGTCGGGCGTAGGTGATAAGGAGTCGGAGTCTGTGTCGTTCCTTCCTCCATCTTTGGGAACAGCACCCGATGAAACTCTCCCCTTGTTGAGATAGTCTGGCTCGAAAGGAGAAAGCCTTACTACTGGCAAAGCTTACTTTTTTTCTCCTCCATTGCTTGATGAATATTTTCCAGACGTACCAAAAGATGATCCACCAGGCTCTGTAAGACCTTTGACTTTTGTGAGGAAGGGTGAGTTCGATTAGCTCTCTCGCAACAAAGAGAGGAACCGAGAATTCATATGCGCTTATGTGCTGCGCTTCGATTTAGTCCTATAACCTTTAGTCGACCAACCACCTTCTCCTCCCTAGGAAAGCATTTGACTTTGAATTCCTTTAGTAAGATAGCTCCGTGGGCCTCTCTAGACGACCTACCTTTATCCATCAATCTCGCTCCTTGGTATGGCAGGCGTCGACTCAACGGCCTGGCCTCGGGTGATGAGATCAAGAAGAGAGCATGTTCCATCAAGTGATTTTAGGCAAACTTATTCTAGGGTTCACGAGAAGATATCCCTTAGGAGGGATATAGCTTTTCTTCCGGAAGTATGAGTTTCTTAATTCCATTTTTCTGCTATTCCCATTGCACTAACCATTGATGAATAATGCGACCCTGGCGAAGGATGTCACGAGTATTTACAATGGCTGTTGGTAGAATTTCAGGCATATGGTCAGAAGGAGGAATTATCACCGTTGACCCGGATTCAAAATCCAATCCTTTTGCTTCCTTCAGCAAGGACACATGGAACACAGGATGGATTTTAGATGTTGCCGGTAGCAGTAAACGATAAGCAACCTGGCCCACGCGTTCCACGATTGGAAACGGTCTATCAAATTTCCGAGAAAATGGATTTGGATGATAATATCCGCGGACTGAGACCTGGCGATACGGCTGGTACTTCAAGTATACCCAATCACCCACTTGGAACTCGACATCCCTACGTTTCTTATCAGCCCGGGCTTTCATGCGTTGTTGTGCTGTATGTAGATGAGATTTGAAGTGAATATTTGATCACGTTGCTTGAGCTGAAAATCAACTGCTTCGTTGGGCGATGAATTGGGAAGGTAACGAAGAAGAGTTGGAGGCCCGTAATTCGCAAGGCTCGTTGAGACCAATGGAATGATCAAAATCAGTGTTGGAAGAATATTCCGCCCATGGGAGAAATCGAGCCCAATTAAGTGGTTCATCCATCACAAAACACCGTAAATAAGTTTCTAATGTTCGATTGAGGCGTTCCGTCTGTCCATCCGTTTGAGGATGATATGCACTGCTCATTTTCAATTGTGTTCCACTTAATTTCGACAATTGCTGGCGCTAAGGAAAAGTTTGTCTCTATCTGATAAGATCGACCGAGGTATGCCGTGTAAGCGCACTATCTCTTTGACAAAAATTTCAGCTAGTTTGGCACTTGTAGTGCCAGATGAAAGAGGGATGAAATGAGCATATTTATTGGTCGACAATGACCAAAATCTCAGTGAAGGACTTTGACGGTGGTAGGCCCTGAATGAAGTCCATTGAGATGTCTTCCCAAACTTATGTCGGTATTGGCAAAGGCTGGAGTAGCCCAGCAGGGGATGTATTAGTGAGTTTTACTTGCTGACACACCTGACAGTTGGCAACATAAGCTTTAATGTCCTTGCGCATTGAAGCCCAATAGAAATTGGGAACCATTCGTAAATAGGTACGAATGAAGCCTGCATGTCCTGCCTCTTTTGAATCATGAAAATGAGCCATAATAGTGTGTTGTAAGGTAGGCGGAATCACCAGGCGGCCCTGATATAGAAGAAGTCCTTCTAAAATTGTGTAGTCTGGTAGAATATTGGAGTCTTGTTGGACTTTACGGAAAATATCAGTCATGCGTGTGTCCCAGTTTGAAGGATCTTTTAATTCAGCCAGAAAAGTGGGTTGTGCCCAGGACAACGAAAAGTGTGACCCATCGCTAAATTTACGGGACAGGGCATCCGCTGCTTGATTTTGAGTGCCAGGTTCATAGACAATTTGAAAATCAAACCCCTTTAGTTAGCCAATGTTGTTGCTCAGGGGTTTGAATAACTTGCTCCAGCAAGCTTTTTAAGCTCTGTTGGTCAGTTCGGACAGTGAAATGGCGCCCGAGTAAGTATTGTCTCCATTTGGAAATAGATGAGATAATCGCCATCATTTCGCGCTGATAGGTGGAAGCAGCCTGCATGGTTGGAGTCAATTTCTGACTGAAAAACGCAATAGGATGCTCCTGTTGCAATAATGTTGCGCCCATGCCTATGCCTTATTTAGGAGTTTCAGGGTCCGTTTCCACAATAAAAGGTTCCGTGAAGTTTGGTAGGGCTAATACTGGGGCGGAAGTTAGAGCTATCTTCAGCGCCTGAAAGGCATTAGTCGCGTCTGCTGACCATTGGAACGAGTCCTTTTTTAATAAATCGGGGGGAGTGCTTCATAAATTTTCGATAATAGCCGGCAAGACCCAAAAATCCTCGTAGAGCCTTGACAGAAGTTGGGATGGGCCAATCGGAAACGGCCTGTATCTTGGAGAAATCCATGGCAACAGTGCCATTACAAATAACATGTCCCAAATATTCAACTCTCTCTTGAGAAAAAGCACATTTTGAGGATTTAAGATCAAATTGATTATGACGCAATAACTCAAGTACAGAACGGAGATGCTCCAAGTGTATATCATGGGAGGGGCTGTACACCAAAATATCGTCAAAAAAAACAAGAACATACTTACGCAGCAGCGGACAAAACATATCATGAATAACGGCCTGAAAAGTTGAGGTTTAAAGATACGAGACTCACCCCAATATCATGGCAACCTAGCTACAAATTCGTGCTGACTACGGATGGCTTTGATCTTCAGTCTCTTCTGCCTCAACTTCGTCGACCCTCGCGGAGTTAGGTTTAACGTAGTCCTGAGGTTCGAATCCTATGCTTTCTTTGGTCTATCTCCTTCGGACCCTGGTGGGCAAAGAGTCGCCCAAGATAAATGGCCTGTTCACTGCGGGAAGCATCAAAAGAAAAGGCTCACCATAACTAATTTGTCTTGACTCCCAACAAGCAAGGGATTGAGCAAGACGCGCGAAAGCCGTTGCGCTAACGCGCATCCGTTTTCTTGCTGCTTCGAAAAGTTTGTACCTCTCTATCCAGCTTTTTTCCTTCAACGACTCTAAGAAATAATGGTCTCGAACATAGGGGAATGAAGATGAAAGCGGAGGTCCTTGAATGAACGACTTAGCCCCTTGCACACTAAGGTGCCTTAGCCTATCCATACACAGCCACACCCAAAGGGGAGCGCCTGCCCCACTATCCGATCTTCTTTTCCCTTTCCGGGTAGATCTTCTCATTGACAACAATAGGTATTGGCAATAACCAAAGAAATTCTTTTTCAAAGGAGGTAATTCGTTCGCTCCAAACACGACTTGCTTGTAATTTATCCTTCAAAAAAGAAAAAGAAAAGCAAGAATGAATGACCCCCGACCCAATTTCCTTATTTTCTTATTCCCGCCAGGCGCTGTTAAGCCCTTCACCTCCTTCTGATGATCATTCCACTTCTTCGCCGCGGGAACATCTCTCTACTTAAAAGAGGGAACGAAGGCCCCGACCAATCATCGTGAAGAGAACCAATAAGAGCCAAAGGAGGTGATGAAAAGACCTTCTCTCTGGCCCTCTTTTCT